GAAAGCCTGGTGGGCCATGGTGAACCTTGGATCTTATTCCAAGTGGAAGAGAGAGGCCTGGAGGGTCCTGGGCAGGCGGTGCTGTGATCTGACAAGGCCTTCACAGGACCTTGCTGGCAACTGGGCGGAGGACAGACCCACAGCCACAGGGCCAGGGAACCCAGCGTGGAAGTAGTGGGGGTGGAGGGACATGGTCGGGTTCTGGGTGTGTTTCGAAGGTAGAACCTGTACGACTTCCTGCAGAATTGTATGTGGAAACGAGAGAAGAACCAAGGACCTAACTTGAGCAATGGGAAGGGTGGCGCTGCCATTGAAGGGAAGGGACAGCAGGAAGGACAGGCGAGTGCAGTGGACTATGGCATCAGGGCACCAGAGCAGAGCCGCGAAGCTCCAGGGAGGCCATCAGGCTGGGAGGGCAAACTTGGAAGTCCTCAGGAGATCATTGTAAAGTCTCAGGGTTGCCTGAGGTGACCTGTCATTCCTGGGTCTGCGTGGTTGGGTCCTTGTCGCTCGGGCTCTGCCCTGAGGTCCCGCCCAACCTGCTCCACCTCCCGCTCTCCATGTCCATTCTGCTGTGCGGCGTTCGTCACTCCAAGCACCATCTGAGACTGTTTCCTGGTTTGTCGGGTGTCTCCTGCCCTAGAGTGGTAAAGCCGTGAGGGCTGTCTGCCCTCAGCTGTGTCCCCAGGCCCAGGGCGTGCCTGGCAGAGAGCAGGCCTCTGAGAACCAGCTCGTGATAGCGAGACTGCCCCTTGTTCCCATTCAGTGGTTGGTTCTGTTCTTTCCCTGGCCACAGGCTCCACTCTATCAGTCAGCCACACATTTATTGAGCACCAATTGTGTGCAAAGCACTGTTGGGCATGAAACGTATTAACCCAGTGAATGAGGAGAAGCTTGAGTTGGAGACGGAGCCCCAGAATTACATGGCAGAGCAGAAGGGTATCAGCTCACTAGAAGACACGCGTGGGCTGGTGGGCGACGTAGTGTGTGCTGTGTCATCTGGGGCTGGGAGGAGGTGTGCTGGGTCAGGAGTTCCAGGAGCCCAGGAGGAGTGGATGGGGCAGGTGCAGAGCCAGCCCACATTTAGGGGAGAAAACACAGCCAAGGCCAGGCCTTCACAGGGAGCCCGGCGTGGGCTGCACATCTGCACTCCCAAGGCTAGTTTTGGTGCCCACATGCTCTGCAGGGGCTGGGCACTGTGGCAGCGGCAGCAGCCTTCCCTGTTAGTCCAGCTGCTGAAACTCCAGGGAGAGTAAATTACCAGCGTGGCTGGTAGTCCTTCCCGGGAACTCTTCTTGCCTCCTGCTTTCTGTGGAACTCTGCCTTCCCCACTGCCTCTGCTTGTTCCTGGGCCCCAGAACCTCTTTCCCATCTTCAATCTCTTAGGTCATACCTTGGGAGGCCTCCCCCAGCCCTCAGTGTAAAGAGGGTGTCCCTTTCCACTGTCACAGAAGCATCCCAATGTGCAGGTGCCTGTTAACATCTGCCTTCCCCACTGATCTGGAGCTCCACAAGGGAGAGGGCACACACAGTAGGTGTGTGTGGGATGGGTGGGAGGGTGGGTGACCCCTGTATATGTATGTGGGATGGATGGGAGGGTGGGGACCCCCAGTAGGTGTGTGTGGGATGGATGGGAGGGTGGGTGACCCCAGTAGGTGTGTGTGGGATGGATGGAAGGGTGGGTGACCCCAGTAAGTGTGTGTGGGATGGATGGGAGGGTGGGTGACCCCAGTAGGTGTGTGTGGGATGGATGGGAGGGTGGGTGACCCCAGTAGGTGTGTGTGGGATGGATGGGAGGGTGGGTGACCCCAGTAGGTGTGTGGGGGATGGATGGGAGGGTGGGTGACCCCAGTAGGTGTGTGTGGGATGGGTGGGAGGGTGGCTGACCCCAGTAGGTGTGTGTGGGATGGATGGGAGGGTGGCTGACCCCAGTAGGTGTGTGTGGCATGGATGGGAGGGTGGGTGACCCCAGTAGGTGTGTGTGGGATGGATGGGAGGGTGGGTGGGTGACCCCAGTAGGTGTGTGTGGGATGGATGGGAGGGTGGGTGACCCCAGTATGTGTATGTGGGATGGATGGGGGGTGGGTGACCCCAGTAGATATGTGTGGGACAGATGGGAGGGTGGGTGAGTGACCCCCAGGAGGCGTGTAGAGGGTGGGTGGGTGGATGTGGATGAACAGCACCTTGTTTCTTCTTCCCAGGTGGCTTCTGGCACAGCAGCTTAATTGACCGGAACCTCATTGATTATTTTGTTCCCTTCCTCCCCCTGGAATACAAACACCTAAAAATGTGTATCCGAGTGGAAATGCAGTCCCGAGGCTATGAAACTAATGAAGACATTGTAAGCAGAGTGGCTGAGGAGATGACATTTTTCCCCAAAGAGGAGAGAGTTTTCTCAGATAAAGGCTGCAAAACGGTGTTCACCAAGTTAGATTATTACTACGATGATTGACAGCCATGATTGGCCGACGAGTCTCTGCTTGGAGTTGGAAAAGAACAGTCGTTTCACGCCTCCTCCCCCAGCTCCTTTCCCTGGAAGAGGAATCAGAGTGAATGTTTCCTGTTTGATGTGACAGGAATTCTGTCCCCGGCATTGTTTCCACCCCCTGGTGCCTGTAGGCCACCGAGGGACCATGGGCAAGGACATGAAGCTTCCCCAGCCCGCACAGAAGGAAGGAGCCAGCTCCCAGCCCACTCATCGCAGGGCTCATGATTTTTTACAAATTATGTTTTAATTCCAAGTGTTTCTGTTTCAAGGAAGGATGAATAAGTTTTATTGAAAATATAGTAACTTTATTTAAAATGATTTTTAACATTATGAGAGACTGCTTAGATTCTAAGTTGTTGGCCTTGTGTGTGTGTTTTTTAAGTTCCCGTCATTATAACATATACTGTGATGTATCTTTACTGGAAATGAGCCCAAGCACACGTACATGGCATTTGTGCCACAGGAGGGCATTGCTGGGGATGCGGCTGGAGCACGAGCCAGCTCTGTCCCAGGATGGTCCCAGCGGACGCTGTCAGGGGCAATGAAGTGTTTAGATGAAGGACAAGTAGGTAAGAGGACGCCTTCAGGCACCACAGATAAACCTGAAACAGCCTCTCCAAGGGTTTTAACCTTAGCAACAAAGGGAGCTGTGGGAATGATTTTGGCAACACTGTCAACATTTGTTAGAACAAGTCTTTTGAAAGAAAAGTATTTCCAGTTTGTCACTTGCCACTCTATTTTGCAAAAGGTGGCCCTTCACTGTCCATTCCGAATGAGCCACACGTGCCCTGCTGGATTCTAAATTATGTGAATTTTGCCATATTAAGTCTTCCTCATTTATACTAGTTTTTGTTACATTCAGTCAAATCCCCGAAACCTCCTATAAAGCTTAGCTGCCCCTTCTGAGGATGCTGAGAACGGCATCTGTCTTTATAAATGCAAATGGCTACCGTTTTACAATAAAATTTTGCATGTGTCATTGGTGAGTACATTTTTGAAGAGGGAGAAGTGCCCCTCCACTGTGGCCTTGTGAGGTGAGGCTGGGAGTGAAGACCTAGCAGAACAATCCAGGTTGGAAAGAAAGTCTCACACAGGGATCTGAGGATCTTACGATGGCTCTGTCCCCTCGCCCAGTGGTCTGGGAAGTCGCCCTCCATTGTGCGGTTCCTGGAGCTCCTGACACCCAGCCACGGAGTTCAAGTACAGCTGAGATGCCAGCAGGAACAGTACTGTAGACTAAGGTAAGCGCTGTGTCCCCGCATGTGGGCAGTGCTCCCATGGGTGCGGCTGCTGCTGTGGAGAGCACTGCAAGAACCACTTCTAGTAGGCACGGAAGACGAGTTGGTGGCCTAAGCTGCAGGTCTAATGCAAGTCTCCTCTGCCTTATGGCTCCCCAGCCTGCATGGGGTCCCACTAGGGCACCCAAGCCCTAAAGATGGCTCCAAGCATTAGAAAGTTCTTGGTATTTAGCTGCAGCCGGCCTGTTACGTCCCTGGGAGTGACAGATGAGGTCTAATCATTCATTTGAAGAGTGTGGCCCAGGCACCAGAAGTCCCAAGTTAAGGAACACGGGTCCCCTGACAGTTTTTGGAAGGTTCAGTTTTTGTAGATGAGCCCGTGTGGGTAGAACAGGAACTGCGTTAGACTGAGAACCAGACCTAGAAAGTTGGTCTCCTGGGAATAGAGTACCTTCAGTTGAGAAATTAAGGGAGTGGGTGGGGTGATGGTGGTGAGAGTTTGTGCTTTCTAGTCCATCTGCGAATCCTCAATCCTGTGAAGAGGGTGGGTGTTAGCCATTCACTGACGAGACAATACCGGGTTATGTGTAATTAAGCCAAGATCAGATTAGCATTTAGGATTTTTTTTTTTTTTTTTTTTTTTTTTTTTTTTTTTTTTTGAGACAGTTTCACTCGTTGCCCAGGCTGGAGTGCAATGGTGTGATCTCAGCTTACGGCAACCTCCGCCTCCCAGGTTCAAGCGATTCTCCTGCCTCAGCCTCCCGAGTAGCTGGGATTACAGGCATGCTCCACCACGCCTGGCTAATTTTATATTTTTAGTAGAGATGGGGTTTCTCCATGTTGGGCAGGCTGGTCTCAAACTCCCAACCTCAGGTGATCCACCCGCCTCAGCCTCCCGAAGTGCTAGGATTATGGGTGTGAGCCACCACGCCCGGCCTCGGATTTCTTATTTACCAGGTTTTACCAGTTTCAGGGGTTAGGTTTCCTCACCTGAGCTCAGGTTCAGGATGTCAGAGGTCTTTACCAGTACCTCAGTTTCCTCCCACATTAATTTTGGGAGAAAGTATTTTATTGGAAGTCTGTCTTTGATGAAATATACATCAGCTAATTTAACTTCTATGTATCTGGGGGAAGAGCTTTTAAGGTAAATAGTGCTTCTGTATCGCAGATTGCCCACCCGCCTGTCCAGGGTACAGTGAGTCTCCCAGCTGTGCTGCTAAAATTCATTCTGAACTTTGGTACCAAATAAATTAGAAAAAAAAAGTTAGCAAGTGGCATTTCACATGATAAAATCTAGGCTTTATTATTTTATATTCAGTAGGTCAATAAAGCTCTTGTCCACATCTTACAAGGGAGGTGGAAGAGGCGGGGTCATGATCAACCACGGCCTTTTCAAGTTACAAATCAGTAATAGCAGTCCAAAGGTGGCAAATAGGTATTTGTTGCATCACTGTAAACAAAATCTTGTCTCCTCTCAACCGGATGCCCAACATTTTATAAAAGAAGTGTAACTTAGCTCCAATTTGAGGATACGTACTAAAAATTTTAAACCTCACCTTGGTGTTTTTTTCAAGACTAATGCCTGTAAGGCATTTCCATGTCATAAATTCTACCGTATTTTTATGTAAAAAATGCTGCACATTGTTGTAATTGTGTCTGCAGCTGTGCTGCGATTATGAGACAGATGCAATGATTCACACTGGCTGGAAGCTAAGTCTCACAGCCCAGGGATCAGGGCAGTCCAGCCTGGCGCTGCCACAAAGGGTGGTGGTATCAGGTCACACCCAGGACCTGCCACGACTGTAGACTAACCTTGTTTGATCCACAGTTGTGACCACGTATTACCACAAATTTAACAATAAAAAATTGTTTTAAGAGTATCTGAGAAAGGACTAAGCAATCATTCCATTTTGTGTCCTTCCCTCGTTTTAAAATGAGCAATGTCCTTTAAGATCTGCAAGCTGACTGTTCAGTCTGGGCCCATGTCATCCTTCCAGAATGAGCACATCCTAGGATTTCAAATGGTTCTACAAAATAAAGTGAGAGATGGACCCAAGTATAAAGTCTTAACAAGCATCTCACCATGGAAACCAAGGACTCACATTGAAAGCCAGTGGTCTCACTGTGACTCAACCCTATGACGATAGATGGTTAGAGGGACTCGAGCAGTGAGCCAAGCTCAGATGCGGCACAAGGAAGGCTGGGGATGATACCAGCTGAGATGGTGAAGGATTCCACAGTCAGGGCTGTATTAGCAGCCAGAACAATGGACAGCCGGGAGAGACCTGTCTGTCCAGGTCTGCTGCAGAGGTGTTAGGTGAAGGCCCCACCCCACACACAGACAGGTCAGCCCAGATCAAGAGTGCTCAGTGGGCACGGCCACATCCTCCTGTCAGACACCGTCTGCACCTCCACCCCCGATTTTAATTGAATACACTTCAAGTCAGTGAACTCTCTCTGTGTAAAGAACGAAACAGAGGCTGGGCGCACTGGCTCAAGCCTGTAATCCCAGCACTTTGGGAGGCTGAGGTGGGCGGATCACGAGGTCAGGAGATTGAGACCACCCTGGCTAACACGGTGAAACCCCGTCTCTACTAAAAATACAAAAAATTCGCCAGGCGTGGTAGCGGATACCTGCAGTCCCAGCTACTCAGGAGGCTGAGGCAGCAGAATGGCGTGAACCTGGGAGGCAGAGCTTGCAGTGAGTGGAGATCGTGCCACTGCACTCCAGCCTGGGCGACAGAGCGAGACTCTGTCTCAAAAACAAAAAAAGAACGAAACAGAGCAAAAGGATGTTTTCGGCCAGTAAGAACCCAGCGCTCCCCAGCCTGCCGGTGGGAACCCAGTGCCCCTCAGCCTGCAGCAGGTTCCTGGACTCCTTCAGTCCTGATAGTAGCTTCTGAGGTGCGGGTGCTGTGAGTCAGAAACCATTGCCAGGCCTGCCATGCACAGCTGTTTTCAGGCACTTCTGTCACGGTCAGTACATTAAGTGTGAAGGGGATTTTAAAAGTTCATCTTCAGCTGCAAAGAAGAGCTGGACGGCTGTCATCTTGCAAAATGACAAATGTACGCAATAGATTCACGTGTTTTCCAAAATCAACTCTTAGATTCTATATCCCAGCCGGGCACAGTGGCTCATGCTTGTAATCCCAGCTACTCGGGAGGCCGAGGCATGAGAATCCCTCAAACTGGGAGTGGAGGTTGCAGTGAGTTGAGGATTGCACCACTGCACTCCAGCTTGGATGACAGAGCGAGGCCCTGTCTCAGAAAAAAGATTCTATATCCCCAAACTCTAAGGTGCAAACAGGCAAAACCCCAAAGCGGTCTTCAGGGTTCTTCGGAAAGGCAAGGCGTCTGCTGTGCGGAGCCTCCCAGCTGCCTCCTACCCCATCCAGACAGGAGCTCAGTGGAAATCAAGCCGCGACTGCACAGTCTTGCAGCCCTTGTCTGAGTAGATTTTCTCGTCTTTGGGGAAAAACGTCATTTCCTCTGCCACTCTTGTGACAATGTCTTCATCTATAGCAGAGCCACGGGCCCTCATCTCGGCCCTCACACACATTTTCACATGTCTGTACTCCAAAGGCAGGAAGGGGATAAAGTAATCAATGAGGTTTTTGTCGATCAGTCCACTGTGCCACAGGCCACCTGCGGAACAAGACAAAGCTGGGTTTCCCGCTGCCACCGCCACCGCCACCTGGCCAAGCTCCAATCCCAACCCTCAGCACGTGCCTCAAGTCCGTACCCCTTAAGAGAGTCTCGTCAGTGTGCAACAAGCCCATGTAGGACTCAGCTGGACACTCACTAACTGGTTTCAAGGACAGTATACCTAAGAAAATTCGAGACTTGGCCGGGCGCGGTGGCTCAAGCCTGTAGTCCCAGCACTTTGGGAGGCCGAGACGGGCGGATCACGAGGTCAGGATATCGAGACCATCCTGGCTAACACGGTGAAACCCCGTCTCTACTAAAAAAATACAAAAAACTAGCCGGGCGCGGTGGCAGGCGCCTGTAGTCCCAACTGCTCGGGAGGCTGAGGCAGGAGAATGGCGTAAACCCGGGAGGCGGAGCTTGCAGTGAGCTGAGATCCGGCCACTGCACTCCAGCCTGGGCGGTAGAGCGAGACTCCGTCTCAAAAAAAAAAAAAAAAAAAGAAAATTCGAGACTTTAGCAAAGCCAGAAGTCCAGTGGGATCCTGTGGCTTTGTGAAACAATGCAAGAGCAGACGGCTCACTGCTGGACAGTTAAGGGGCTCCTTTACCCTGGTGCACTCACTGTGTTTATTATTGAAGACTCCAACAGACAGTACAGGTTCCAGGTCCTTCAGCTGAATGTCTTCCCTCTTTCTTCCGGCCCGCCAAAAGTCAAGAGCTGTCTTAGTTATAAGGTCCCCGCCTGCATTGCTGAGTTTGCCAGAGAAATAAAGATTAAAATCACATATTAAGACTTCTGTGTCAGCCGGGTGTGGTGGCTCACGCCTGTAATCCCAGCACTCTGGGAGGCCGAGGCAGGCAGATCACCTGAGGCCAGGAGTTCGAGGCCAGCCTGACCAACATGGAGAAACCCCGTCTCTACTAAAAACACAAAAATTAGCCAGGCTAATGGTGGTGCATAACTGTAATCCCAGCTACTCGGGAGGCTGAGGCGGGAGAATCATTTGAACTAGGGAGGCAGAGGTTGCAGTGAGCCGAGATCATACCATTGCACTCCAGCCTGGGCAACAAGAATGAAACTGTCTCAAAAAACAAAACAAAAAAAAAAAAACAAAAAAAAATTCTGTGTCTTACCAAGAAATGAACCTGCTCTATTGTCCGTTTTTTGAGACACTCTGTCACCCAGGCTGGAGTGCAGTGGTGCAATATCGGCTCACTGCAACCTCCACCTCCCAAGTAGCTGGAATTACAGGTGCCTGCCACCACGCCCCTTCTAATTTTTGTATGTTTAGTAGAGATGGGGTTTCACCATGTTGGCCAGGCTGGTCTTGAACTCCTGACCTCAAGTGATCTGCCCACCTCGGCCTCCCAAAGTGCTGGGATTACAGGCGTGAACCATCACGCCTGGCCAAAGATCTATTTTCATAAAGGAATATTTACTGAGTGCTACTACAAAAAAGTGTCTGCTCTCGTGGAACTTAAAATGTTTATTCACAACTAGCTGGGATAATGCTATGGCACTTTAGAACCCTAAAAACGAACATGCGCAATTAATAAAATTACCTGTTTTCATTTGTTTCATTTTTAGGGTCAGGGTCTTGATTTGTCACCCAGGCTGGAGTGCAGTGGCATGATCATAGCTCAATAAAACCTTGAACTCCTGGGCTCAACCAATCCTCCTGCCTCAACTTCCCCAAGAGCTGGGACTCCAGGCCTACGCTACCATGCCCGGCTAAAATTGCCTGCTATCATTGATTCTTTTTTTTTTGAGACAGAGTCTCGCTGTGTCGCCCAGGCTGGAGTGCAGTGGCACGATCTCTGCTCACTGCAAGCTCCACCTCCTGGGTTCACGCCATTCTCCTGCCTCAGCCTCCTGAGTAGATGGGACTACAGGAACGTGCCACCACACCCAGCTAATTTTTGTATTTTTCGTAGAGACAGGGTTTCACCGTGTTAGCCAGGATGGTCTCAATCTCTTGGTGATCCGCCCACCTCGGCCCTTCAAAGTGTTGGGATTACGGGCGTGAGCCACCGCTCCCGGCCCAGTGATTATTTCTTTAGTTCATTTCCACAACCCACACTGTGTGCCATGCTGAGACTGGCAAAGGAAAAGAAAAGTAAAGCAGTAGGTAAGTGCCTTGTGCCAAGCAGGCACTTTTGTCCTGGTAAACCAAGTGCTGATGGTCCTCGGGACCTCATTTTATCATTGAGAGAATGAAGGGCTTGTGTGCCCCAAAAGACCGCCTCCTGCTGACCTGAGAAAGATGAAGATGGCTTTGCGGTAAGACACTCCGTCAACCTGCTCGTAGTAGTCTAGAAATGGCTTGATTGCGTCAATGATCCCGGGGTGCAATTTATCCATCTCGTCAAATATGAAAACAGAGTTCGCACATGCACTCACATTACCGCGGATCCACTTCTGTAACTGGTCCTGGACCAACCGTGAAAGAAGAAATAGGATGCGAAGCTCAAAGGGTGCACCAAGAGGAGCGCGGGAACCATCTGCTCCTCATGCACTGAAGGACAAGGTCAGAGCTCTTAGAACTGCACCCTCACCCCCACTCGCTGGGTAATAGCTTTTCTAAAACCTTATTTCTAAAAAGTGGAAATTGGCAGAGACAGATGCTAAAATGCAAAGAAGCTTTTACCTAACTCAAATGACATATTAAATGTGACTTTTTAAAGGTGTAAGAGGTACAAGATCCGTGATTTTTTTTTTTTTTTTTTTTGAAACAGGGTCTCGCTCTATCCCCTAGGCTGGTGTGTAGTGGCACGATCTCAGCTCCGCCTCTTGGGTTCAAGAGATTCCCCTGCCTCAACCCCCCCTGTAGCTGGGACTACAGGCGCCCCCATCCCCCACACCACACCTGGCTAATTTTTTTTTTTTTTTTTGAGACGGCGTCTCGTTCTGTCGCCCAGGCTGGAGTGCAGTGGCCGGATCTCTGCTCACTGCAAGCTCCGCCTCCCAGGTTTACGCCATTCTCCTGCCTCAGCCTCCAAAGTAGCTGGGACTACAGGCGCCTGCCACCTCGCCCGGCTAGTTTTTTGTATTTTTTAGTAGAGACGGGGTTTCACCGTGTTAGCCAGGATGGTCTCAATCTCCTGACCTCGTGATCCACCCATCTCGGCCTCCCAAAGTGCTGGGATTACAGGGTTGAGCCATCGCGCCCAGCCACCTGGCTAATTTTTGTATTTTTAGTAGAGACAGGGTTTCGCCATGTTGGGCAGGCTGATCTCGAACTCCTGACCTCAGGTGATCCACCCACCTCACCCTCCCAAAGTGCTGAGATTACAGGAATGAGCCACCTGGCAAGATCCGTGAATATCATTCACTGCTAACCTAGCCATAGTTTTCATCTCTCTTGGACTACAATCTCAAGTTAGTACCACTAGACATACTGAGGAATAAGAAACTAGATTAGACCTGCATAGTACACAGTACCCCAGACCAACAGAGCTGACACACTGACATTTCATGAAAAGCATCTGTTCCAGATGCTTTCATGAAACAAACATAAAGACACTGAGGCAACAAGCCCTCTACCCCAAAGTGTGAAAGGCTGTACCATGAAGCTCCCCGAGACATGCCCTTATCCATTTATATTCCTCTGTTTCTAGAGATTTATAAAGAATGTAGAAAACAAGAAAATCCTTCCTTCCTTTTTGGCAGTCTTCCCTGTCTCATGTCAGTTTGCAGGGCAAATACTTCTACTTCCTTGTTCACTTAAGTTTCTGTTTCTTTCTTCAGTCTCCACCTAACAGGAGGAATTTTTTTTTTTTTTTTTTTTGAGATACAGTCTTACTCTGTCGCCCAGACTGGAATGCAGTGACACAACCATGGTTCATTGTAGCCTCAGCCTCCTGGGCTCAAGCAATCCTCCATGTCCGCCTCCCAAGTAGCTGGGACTACAGGTGCATGCCACTATACCTGGCTAATTTTTTATTTTTTGTAGAGTTGGGGTCTTGCTATATTGCCAGGGGGAATGTTAACCTTGACAAGGGCAACATTCATTTAAATGAGAACTAACCCTCTTAGACAACTTAAAATACATGTGAAAACAATATCTCAAAAGGAGAAACGGTCTCAAGGTTCAGTTCTTTGAGGCTTCCTTTGAAGAAAGCAATGCCAAGGACATGAAAGATGGGAGGAACAAAGGGAATAAAACCTGTTTAAGAGAAAAAAGACCTCTAGGCTACATTGCAAAGAGCAGAGGCAAAGCTGAGGCTGCACCAGAGGTGGGCAGCATCGAAGGAAGCCACCCCCAAGCTAATCCTTGAAGACTGACTGCCCCTCTCACCAACTGCACTGCTGCGGATGCCGGATCCCTTCACTCACCGGAGAAGGTGGCTACCATGTCAACTGGGAGTTGGGAGGTTTTGGTTCAAGTTCCTGCTCTGCCACAAAGATTATAAGGAGTAAGTCACCTTGCCTCTCTTGGCTCCAGGCTCCATCTTTTTTTTTCTCTCTCTCTCTTTTTTGGGACAGAGTCTCACTCTATTGCCCAGGCTGGAATGCAGTGGCACAATCTCAGCTCACTGCAACCTCCGCCTCCTGGGTTCAAACGATTCTCCTGCCTCAGCCTCCCGAGTAGCTGGGATTACAGATGTGCACCACCACACCCAGCTTTTGTGTTTTCAGTAAAGACGGAGTTTTTCCATGTTAGTCAGGCTGGTCTTGAACTCCCGACCTCAGGTGATCCACCTGCCTCGGCCTCCCAAAGTGCTGGGATTACAGGCCTGAGCCACTGCACCTGGCCTTGACTACATCCTCTTTTTATTTTTTTTTGAGATGGAGTACAGTGGTAGATCTGGGCTCACTGCAACCTCCGCCTCCCAGGTTCAAGTGATTCTCCTGCCACAGCCGCCCAAGTAGCTGGGATTACAGGCGCGCGCCACCGTGCCCGGCTAATTTTTGTACTTTCTGGTAGAGACGGGGTTTCACCATGTTGGCCGGGCTGGTCTCAAACTCCTGGCTTCAAGTGATCCGCCCGCCTCGACCTCCCAAAGTGCTAGGATTACAGGCGTGAGCCACCGCGCCCAGCCCTCGGCGCCATCTTTTAATGCGAATAACATGCCCTACCCCACTGGACTGTTTTGGAACCAAGTAAGAGAAATGTAGGAGAGCTTTGTAACTACCTGGACTAAGTGTGCCTTAACTCAGTGGAGCCGGGGGCTACTGCAACACAAAGGAAAGAGAAGCAGAGGCCAGAGTTAGTGAGCAGGTCACCCAGACCAGTCCGACTGGCCTGCGGACGAGATAATAGCGGGTTCTCTTGCCTGGTACAGTTTTATCTTCTGTTCATGAGGGAAGTGCAGAGTCGATACAAACAGGTGGACAAAGTTACTCTTCAGGCCTTTTGGGTGAAGATTTTCAGCCACAATTTGACTGACAAAATTCTTGCCTGTGCCAGCCCAGCCGTGTAAGGAAAGGGTCAAAGGTTTCTTGGGATTTTTGTTGTTCCTGAAGCCAGTCAGCGCCTTGAGAATCACTTCCGTGGCCAGATGCTGTCCAAACAGCTTCTCCTCCAAATCCAGCTTGAGAGCTGCAAGAACAGCCCCAGAACAGAAAGAGAAACAGACGTTAAAAAATGCATCAGCAACGCAGTACTTTCCCAGCTGCCCAAAGCAAGAAGGTTCCAGCAGGATGTCTGCCAAACCCTAGGGCCGAGGTAGTCAAATGATGCCACTTTCAGGTAAACGGATTATGTGGAGGTTCTTAACGCTTTGGGGTCTGATAGAGAAGCTAAATGTTCATCCATTCGGAGATGAACCATCGCTTGACTGAGCGCTTGCTATTCCCGGCCACCCCTGCTGGCCCGCAGGAAAACCGGGGCCAAATGTGGGCTTTCTGAGCGATGCAGCACGTCTGAAAGCTACTTAATAGGGTTGGCAGAGTGCAGAAGGGCCGCCCACCGTACTTTCCGTTTCTTCTGCCTACGATCCTCAGGAACAGGAGCTTTAGAAAGGCGCTGGGGCAGAGCCCCACGACCTGGAGGCTGTTTGCGAAGGCACCGCTTCCAGGGATGGAGTTCGCATCGCGTTCCCGCGAACGGTTCCGGGGCCGCCCCATCCGCTCCCCACCCACCCCAGCTGTGACCACCGCCGTCTAGATGCCGCGCGCCCGGTCCGTGCCAGGAGCCCACGCGCTCCAGTGCCCGGCCTGGGGTCGCAGAGGCCCCCGCGCCCCCCGCAGCGCCGACCCACAGCTCGCGCGCGCCGTACCCGAAGCGTTGAGCGGCCGCTCCTCGCGGCAACACTCGGCGAAGCGGCAGTAGATGTCATTGTAGGACAGGTAGCCGGTGATGGCCGACGCGGCCCCGATGGCGAGGCCCACGGTGATGGGCTCGAACGCCGCCACCACTCGGGCCGCCAGCAGCAGCGCCAGCGCCGCGGCGCCCCGGAGCCACCCAGCCCACAACATCCCGCTCTTGGTAGCCCGCAGAAGCCGCTGAGCCAGGCGCCCCGCGGCCAAGCGGCAGGACGGACTTCCGTTCGTGCGTCACTTCCGCCCCGCAGACCCGCCCACTCCCTTGGGGGCGGCCATGTTGGTGAGGGGCGGAGAGGAGGACGGTGCCGTCATCCTTGTGAGTGGCCCGAAGGTGTAGGTGACTGTTTTGTTTCCCTTTTCTTTCTTTAAAAAAAAATTTTTTTGAGGTGGCGGGCGCCTGTAGTCCCTGCTACTCGGGAGGCTGAGGCAGGAGAATGGCGTAAACCCAGGAGGCGGAGCTTGCAGTGAGCTGAGATCCGGCCACTGCACTCCAGCCTGGGCGACAGAGCCAGACTCCGTCTCAAAAAAAAAAAAATTTTTTTTTCGGGCCGGGCACGGTGGCTCACGCCTGTAATCCTAGCACTTTGGGAGGCCGAGGTGGACGGATCACGAGGTCAGGAGTTCGAGACCAGCCTGGCCAACATGGTGAAACAAGCTGCCTGCTTGCTCATCTGTCTCCCTGACTAGTTACCTGGACCATGGTAACAGCCTCTACTAAAAATTAAAAAAAAAAAATTATCTAGGTGTGGTGGCGCATGCCTGTAATCCCAGCTAACTAGGAGGCTGAGGCAGGAGAACTGCTTGTCCGGGGACCCGGGAGGCGGAGGTTGCGGTGAGCCGAGATCACACCATTGCACTCCAGCCTGGGCAACAAGAGTAAAACTCTGTCTCAAAAAAAAATATTTGTTTTTTGGCCGGGGGCGGTGGCTCACGCCTGTAATCTCAGCACTTTGGGAGGTTAAGGCAGGCGGATCACCTGAGGTCAGGAGTTCAAGACCAGCCTGACCCACATGGAGAAACCCTGTCTCTACTAAAACACAAAGTAAGCCAGGCATGGTGGTGCATGCCTGTAATCCCAGCTACTTGGGAGGCTGAGGCAGGAGAATCACTTAAACCCGGGAGGTGGAGGTTGCGGTGAGTCGAGATTGTGCCATTGCACTCCAGCCTGGGCAACAAGAGCAAAACTCTATCTCAAAAAAAAAAAATTTTTTTTTGGCCAGGCACCGTGGCTCAAGCCTGTAATCGTAGCACTTTGGGAGGCTGAAGCAGGCAGATCACCTAATGTCAGGAGTTCGAGACAAGCCTGCCCAACATGGCGAAACCCTGTCTCTACTAAAAATACAAAAAATTAGCCAGGTGTGATGGCAGGCGCCTGTAATCCCAGCTACTCGGGAGGCTGAGGCAGGAGAATCACTTGAACCCAGGAGGTGGAGGTTGAAGTGAGCCAAGATCATGCCACTGCACTCCAACCTGGGCGACAAGAGCAAAACTCTGTCTCAAAAAAATAAAAAAAAGCCAAAAAAATGTTTTAAGCACTTTCTTATTTTTTTTTTGTAGTCTGATATGTACATTGGGGACAGGGTCTGGCTCTGTCATCCAGGCTGGAGCGCAGTGTCAGGATCTCAGCTCGCTGCCACCTCTTCCAGGTTCAAGCGATTCTCCCATCTCAGCTTCAGAGTAGCTGGGATTACAGGTGTCCGCCAACACGCCCAGCCAACTTTTGTGTTTTTAGTAGAGACGGGGTTTCACTGCGTGGCCCAAGCTGGTCTCGAACTCCTGACCTCAAGCAATACACTTGCCTTGGTCTTCCAAAGCCTTGGGTTACAGGAGTGGGCTCATGACTACATTTGTTTTCTTGAGAGCTTCTCGGAGCCCTCAAGCTTTGCTTTGTCATCCCTCCCTTCACTTCCTCGGAGGTATAATGTGCGTTTCTGGGGCCGGCCCACCCGCCTGCCTTGTTCCTGAAACAGTTGCAAACTTGAGGTGCTGCGCCCTAGACTGAGCACGGGGATGCAGTGGCCCCAAGACAGATCTGCCCAGGCTTCCACTCTCAAACCCCGAGGTCCATTCTTTCATTCAGCATTCTAGGTAGCAGGCCTCTTGCTGGATGCCAGGAATGACAGCAGAGGAGGGGATGCAGTTGGCCCCTGCCCTCTCAGAGCTGACGGTCTATGGGGGAGGCGGACAAAGGGATAAGGACCAATGCTGAGTGGGCAGAGAAGTGTAGGGCAGTGGTGCAGGGAAAGTTTTTGTCTAAGCTGGGCACTGAGGGAGTTAGGCCAGGCAAAAAATGAGGAGTAGAGTGTTCTATGCGGAAAACAACAGCCAGTTTGGAGAACTGAAAGGATTCCACGTGGTGGAGGGTGGTGAGAGATAGGGATGAAAAATCAGGCAGAGACTGGAAGGTGAAGTCCTTGTGAATGTTGTAAGGAGTTTGGCCTCTGTTCTCGGGGTTAATAGGGAGCCACAGAGGGTTTTACACAGGAAGCAACATGGTCAGCTCAGAGATCATTCTGGCTGCTGGGTTCACAAGAAATGGAAGGCAGAGAGCCAGTGAAGAGGCTGTTACCATGGTTCAGGTAACTAGTCAGGGAGACAGATGAGCAAGCAGGCAGCTTATGTCCAGGGTGGCCAGGGCTGTAATTCAGTACGCACAGAGGCCTGTGGGTGGGGAGGGATCTTCTCCTCCCTAACTCAGTTGTGATCTAAAGAATGAATGGAAGGACCAGGCGTGGTGGCTCATGCCTGTAATCCCAGGACTTTGGGAGGCTGAGGCGGGCAGATCACCTGAGGTCAGGAGTTCGAGACCACCCTGGCCAACGTGGTGAAACCCCGTCTCTACTAAAAATACAAAAATTAACCAGGTGTGGTGGTGCGCGCCTGTAATCCCAGCTACTCGGGAGGCTGAGACAGGAGAATGACTTGAACCCAGGAGGCAGAGGTTGCAGTGAGCCAAGATTGTGCCACTGCATTCCAGCCTGGGCGACAGAGAAAGACTCTGAAAAAAAAAAAAAAAAAAAAGAATAGAAGTTGGCCACGGGAAGTGGCTCAAACGTTTGTTTGTTTGTTTGTTTGTTTGTTTGTTTGTTTGAGACAGAAGTTTGCTCTGTGGCTCAGACTGGAGTGCAGAGTGCTGTGCCATGATCTCAGCTCATTGCAGCTTCTGCCTCCTAGGTTCAAGCGATTCTCCTGCCTCAGCCTCCGTAGTAGCTGGGATTGCATGCGTGCACCACGATGCCCAGCTATTTCTTTTTTCTTTTTTTCTTTTTTTGAGATGAAGTCTTGCTCTGTCACCCAGACTGGAGTGCAGTGACATGATCTCCGCTCACTGCAACCTCTGCCTCCTGGATTCAAGCCATTCTCCTGCCTCAGCCTCCCCAGTAGCGGTGATTACAGGTGCAAACCACCACGCCCAGCTAATTTGTGTATTTTTAGTAGAGACGGGGTTTCACCATGTTGGCCAGGCTAGTCTCGAACCCCTGACCTTGTGATCTGCCTACCTCTGATCTGTCCCACAGGGGTGTCTGTCACGGTAAGTGCAACCATCTTCACCAGTTGCTTAGCCCCAAACCTAGGAGTTGTCGTGGGTTCTTTTCTCCCACTCCCAACACTTCTAATCCATAAGCAGATCGTCACCCCATCTGCAAAACATCTCCAAAAATCGTTCAGTGGTCTTCGTCTCCTTGGCCACTCCCCCACAATCCAAGCCACCATCACTGGTTGCATGGATGAGCACATGACCCCCTAGGCAGTGCCTGTAATTCCCCACACCCCATCCTCTCTGAGTCATTCTCCCTACAACAGGGACAGGTGGTCTTTTTATGAGGAACTGGGTCCTGCTACTCTTGCCTGGTACCTGTTGATGGCTTCCTAAAACCCTTGGGAAGAATCGTGCCCTTCTTCCTCTGGCCTCCCAGCCCCGGTGATGTGCCCACTTTCCTCTTAGAGAACCTTTCCCATCCCACAGGCTCCCTCGTTCTCAGGTCCCTGGCCCCTTCTCTCTCCTGCCTCGGAGTTTTCACATATAACGTGTTCTCATCCTGGACTCTTGCCTCCAAGTCCTACCCAGCTAACAGCTTCTAACCCTCAGCGCCAACCCCACCTCCTCCTGTCTACAGTAGCCTTACTTGCATCCCCCAGGCACCTGCTCGCTCTCCTATCACCCCATCTGAGTCCTTGTTTATTGCCCTTCTCTCCCACTGCCATGAGAGCTTCAGGAGGGCAGGGACCTTGTCTTTTGTCCTCTGCATCTCTAATTCCCAGAACTCTGTCCAGGACACAGTAGGTGCTCCATAACTATGTGCTTGGTGTTCAAGGATAGAACACTGTCCAAGAGGGCAGACTGATCTGGGGGCCACGGATGCCTAAGGCCCTGCAGAGTAACGGCCTGTCCCTACCATGAAGGACTGACCACGAAAGGGCCAGGACATCCCCTTTGGGGACGCTCTGGGCATCTCTAATCCACCACAGGTCTCAGGAAACCTCTTCCCTGCTCCTCTCCTTCCCCTTGGAAAGGAAAGGAGTTTACCTTGATTGCGCATCTAAGATTGAGCCAAGTGTCTTTGTGACACCTTGTGAAACAAATGTTTCATTTGCAGGTGAGGAAACTACTGGGAGAGGCTAAGACATGCCCCAGGCCAGGCGACTGCTCCAGGCCCAGCCTCTTCCCCTGTCCTGCCACCTTCCCCGGGTGTCCCCATGCTCCTCCCCATCCCACCCCTTCCTGTCTTCTTTCTCATACTCTAATGGGACTGGTTTCTCTGTTTGCTTGAACGTATGGAAACCTTGAAGGCAGGGTTTGTTCTATTTGCCTGTGGTGCTTGATGTGGTACTATGTCCATAGCATATGTCAAATATTTGTGAAAAACACACTCCCTTTCTGTTGGACAAACACTCTTCCAAAATGCTGCCTCCGGAAACAGACACGCCTGAGTTTACATTCTGGCTGTCATGTTTCCTGTGTGACCCGGGGCAAGTCACTTACCTTCTCTGAGCCTCAGGCTTCTCATCCCGTCCGGTGCAGCGCGTTTAGCGCAGCTCCTCTGTCATCATAAGCGAATGCTGGGGGCCTTATGGCAGTGAACTCAATTTCCTTTGTGACCTCTGCTAAGTCCTTCTAGGTACTTGGCTTCAAAAACTCAAAACCTAGCACCCCCAGGGGAGCTATTCCGCAGAGCTGAGGGAGGCTGACTCCATGCAGGCTCATTCTGATGGGC